TGATTGAAGATAATTTAAAATAAGGTGGGCTAAATAAAACGTGTCCACAGTCTGCCAGTTTGTGTCCTCCACCCTCTCACTCTAAAGCTAGGTAATTCTGTGGTTCTGCAGTGGAAATGTTTTAACATAGTTATCACAAATATTAGGGAGACAGTAGAGGGAGCAAGCAGTAGAAAAAGCTCAGCTGCTCTTCAGCTGTTTGTGCTTGTTACAGGGGGGAGTGGGAAGGAGCATATTTCATTCACAGACCAATAGGAAAGTAGTTTGAAGATGAACATAAGAATTGGAACCTCAGTGGAAGCCTCTGCCTGGGCATGTGAGTTATTCCTTCTTGCTGACTCTACTGTAAAGCACATCCATTTTACAGGTAGGAAAAAAGAGTACTGGCAGCTCTTCCAGAATCTGCATTAACTTAGAGTCTGAGAGTGGTCCTTTGAATGATGTGAAGTTAGTGAAAAATCAGTGGTTAGTTTCAAGGACAAGTATAGTTAATATATCCATGTTGAAACTCCAAAAGGAAGAATTAAGTAAACGATCAATATCTTCCTCCATCCCCCCCAAATCTGGGTTTAAACCATCTCATGTTGAGGTCTGTGCATGAGCTCTGCCTAGTCCTAGAAATAGAACCAGAATTGCAGCTGGAATCTGTTTTGCAGGAGTGTCAGGAGACTTGGGCAATGATGAGGGCAAATAACTTTTTCCTTTTCACCCAGCCTGAGCAAATAACTGAGATTACTGATCTAATGACCATCCCTACACCCTAACTCACTTTCAGATAGCTTCAAAGGGCAAATAATTTTAGTCATTAGTGGAGAAAGTTTTATTAAAAGTGACTGAGGCAAAACTTGTATGGTATGTCCCATTTCAGTTTTGGGTGGTGAATACAGAAGTTGCCATCAGGGCGGTGCTCGGTGCCACTGGATTTTGACATCTGTACTTGCTGCAGTAGCTGGAGTCCTAACTCCGATTCCTCCTCACGGATGCCTTCATTTCACCTGAGCATTTTACTTAACTGCTTTATAGATAGTGGATTTATTTGTATGGTTCCCAGTGTTTATAAAAAATGGAAAACTAGCTTATCCTTCATACAAAATAAAGCAAAATGGGGAGTCAGAGAGAGGACCAGATAGGGATAACTGAAGCTGTGGTTCCTTGGTTTCCTTAGTCTCATTTCATTGAGTTCGAGGGTATTTTGTATACACACTGATGTTGGCTTTCTTAGCATAGAGGTGAGGGTATTGCCTTTCTCTCTCTTGTGGGTATTCTCATGTCTGAAAAATTTTAAGTCATGAGTGGACAGACCTCATCCTTTTTTATGAGGGTTGGATTTCTTGGGTGACACTGTTGTGTGCTGGAAGCAAAGGGCTTCTCTCCTCTCAGGTTTATAAAGGGTATCATAACGACTTCAGTCTCCAACATGGGGACAGGGATCCAGGAGAGCTGAGTGGATGTGTGAGGGTTTTAGAGACTCTGTTCCTGTTCTAAAGGAACCTAGTTTCCTACAGCTCCATTATTGGAAGTAATAGATGTTGTCAAATCTGACTCTAACCTGACATTTTAGACCTATCAGGGAAATAAGAAAGACCCTCCGGTGGAAGGGCTAGATTGACTTTGAAGAAGTTCCACAGGAGGGTGCATGTATTTCGACAGCTTTTCAAAAGTGGAACGTGGGGAGTATTGCTATTTTAAGGTTTGCACTTCATTTTTCATAATTAAATAATTACTCTTCTGGCCACTGAAAACACTTGGTAAAGTTGGAATAAGGATTAGATAATCATTCTAGTATTTGCTCGCAGGAGAATGATTACTGCTCTCCATTTGTAAAACAGGGAGAAAGCAAATATCTTTGGAAATAGTATTATTTTAGACATGAAGAAATTGTTTCTGTTAGGGTAGGCATTTTAACCTAACAGAGCAGTTAAGGAACCTGGCTTTGCACATTGCTTTGGCCAAACCCAGCCAGCAACTTGAAGTCATTGTGTGTCCTGGGAGCGGAGAGGTAAATCTTCCCACCATCGCTCTTAAACCTTTCTGTGCCTCCTCCTCCGGGCCTTGGTGTATGAACCACTTGCCTTTTTCTGTAGGGAAGTGAGCAGAATCAGATCATAACCCACAGATGCAGTCTGGGGCAGGGCACACCGTCACTCTTGCTTGTAGGAGCACAGAGCTATCAGGATAGGGTAGAAGCCCTTTAGGTCTGTCCCCTCGACACTGCCTTCCTACCTGGTTTTGCTGGTACTTTTGCCAAGATGTTTAAGACAACCAAGACACTTGAGAATTGCAGTCCCCAGATAGTGATGAAAAGAACAGGTTAGCATTCTTAACAAAATGCCTACTGGCCATCTTTGGCAGTGTCTCTGATCAGAGGTTCCCCAGGCCTGCTCTAGGAAAGTGAAAAATTCTCAGAATAAATCCTCAGATGGATTACTGGGTAGTCTTTACGCTACTCCCATCAGCCTAATTAGCTGAATGATCATGCTCAGTGCAAAAAGGTGTCTTCTTGTCAAGTTATTTTGATGTTTCCTGTCTTTCCTGGTACAATTCAATTCAGTTGTTTAAAGTTAGTATTTCAATCTTGAGCAGTGTAAACCCACTTAATTATTACAGGCTAAAGAATCTAGCTACTTAAACTCATCATTAATGTGCCCAAATAATGTGTTTTTGTATATTCGATCCTGGCAAATTATTAATTCAGATGATAAAAGCTCATAATTTCTTGGTATCCTTATGCTCGCATTGTGAACAAACATATTTTGCTAATTTAGACTTTGCACTCTTGATGAGAATGCTGAGGTTGAAAAAGGCAGGTCTCCCACCAATCCAGCATCTATAGCAACATGGTAAAAGTCATCAACTCATCTTTGATTAATTTGATACGTGTTGTGATCTAGAGGGAATGAGATAAAATTTATATTTGAACTGTGTGGGGTGGGGGAACAAGGGATTACTTAAGCAAATAGTGGAGTGATATGGAACAGGATGTCTCTATAAGATGAGAAGTTATTTTCTTGCATAATAGAATCATTCTTTTGCCCATGAGTGATTGTGCTAACTATAAATCATTTATATCTACACATTAAAGTGGATTCTCTCTCAATTAGGCAACATTTAGTTAGCCAGGCCCAAGTTATTGTTTATACTTGAAAGTAATAAAGCTGCATTTCCTTAAAAATAAAAAAAAATAAAAATAAAAAAGAAATTATTAACACATGAACTGCTGTGTGAGTTGTATTTAACTCATGCTAGTTTTGAGCCCAGGGCCTCAGGAAGCATACGTAATTCACACTCCTCTTCACCTTGGGAGCCATATGAACTATTTTTCAAGTTGCATATAACTCCTGCACAGAAACAATAAAAAATGGCAAATTTTTCATTAAATTTGAAAAGACTGTTTTGTTTTTGAAGTTTTTATTCTCTTTTCATAACAAAACACCATGGCCCCAAGGAAAAATATTTTTTCCTAGTGTGGCAATGTGTTAAATAAATTTATTTGTGTAAAATATCAAAATTTGTAGTTATAAGAGTAATTGGCCCATTGATCACGGGGGAGAGATCCATATAGGACTTTAGAATGAGAGCTGATAAAAGAGAGAAAGTAAAATATTAGAAGGGTATGGAATCCAATCAAGCAGAAAGTAATTAGTTATATAATACAATCTGGATAGAAGGCTCATTACCTCTTCAATTCAAATCAGGAGCAGAAAAGTTAGTTAAAAGATCTCTGTTATTATATGAATGGATGCTCCAGGTTTTCAAGGAAAAGCATCTGGCCTGAAAAGCCAGTTTTATAATAACTGCTTTTGCTACATAACAAAATATCCCAAAACTTAGTGGCTTAAGTTCTCTCTTTTTTAATTTTTAATTTTTTTTTTAGAGACAGGTTTTTGCTTGTCTTGACAGGTTCCATCAGCCAGGCTAGAATGCAATCATAGCTCACTCCAGCCTGGAACCCCTGGACTCAAGCAATCTCCCACCTTAGCCTCCCAAAAAGTTTTCTCTTATTATTTCTCCCCATCCTGTGGGTCAATTGAACAGCTCTTCTGGTCTGTCAAGTTTTGTACTGAATGTTCAAGACTGAGTGGTCAATGTCTGGCAGTTGCAAGGTTGGTTGGTTTGGGGAGGTTTCGACTACGATGGCCTGTCTCTCCACAGGATCTCTCAGCCTTCAGTAGGTTAGCCCAGGCTTCCTCACATGGAATCCTAATGATTCCAAAAAGCCGCAAGAGAGAACAAGCCCCAATGTGTCACATTTGCTATTGTCCCATTGGCCAAAACAATTCCAATGACCAAGCCCAGAATGAGAGACGACTACTCAAGCAGACATGAACAAATTGTGGGCCAATTACTTTAATAATCTAATTTAAAGTTTGTTAACAGTTTGATTTATTAGATTTTCAGGTGTTGTTTAAATGCTTAGAAATATTTTGCTTGTTAATTTTGTAAGTTTAGCAATTGGCATTTGAAATGTCTAAAAAAATTTAATTAATCAAGTTTTAAGTAGTAGTAAATGTTTAAGGAGAATTTAATCTGTTACATTTATGAGTTAATAGCATATGAATCAAAGAACAAGTAAAAGTGATTGCTTTTATTTTATACAAATATTGTGAGATTACTAAATGGAATAGCAAGCTTTGTAAATTCAATGTAAAAGCCTGAGAAAAACTAGGATTTTAATTTTGCAACTCAATGTAAGTGAATAAAAATTAACACACCAGTTATTGCAAAAAAAATTTTTACACACAAAATCCCCTCTCAAGCATTAGTAAATCTCAGTAGACACATTTATTCAATAGTTTATTTACAACATATTTATTGATCATCTGCTGTGACACTGTGCTATTCTAGGCCCTCGGAATATGGTTGTCTTTATCTGTTTTCTGTTGCTATAGTAGAATACCACCGGCTAGATAATTCATAAAGAAAATAAGTTATGAGAACACTCATTCTACAGCACAGAATGAGGTGTTACCCAATCTAAAATTAATATAAATAAAATATCATTTAAAAAGAAAGAAAGAAGTTTATTCAGCTCACAATCCTGGAGGCTGGGAAGTCCAAGGGCATGGCTGAGGCATCAGGTGAGGACCTTCTGTGTCATAGCATGGCAGAGGGCACACGTGACGAGAGGGCAAAGAGCACTCCACTCAGGGCTTTCTTCCTCTTCTTATGACACCACCAGTCCTGTCATGTGGGCCCCAGAACCCAGAGAACATGCATAAGCAAAGCAGCTCCATGTTGGTATGCACTCAGCAAGTTTCACCAAGACCTCACCCCAGCTAAGCACTGAAGGGGTGAGGAAGCTGGACTCCCTGCCATCGGGGAGGAGCAATCTACTCAAGGCAAAACCATATTTCATCCACTTGAAGACGTTCATTTTTTACATTTTAAAATCTCTAAAATCAGACTTTATCTTACGGTGATGATGCCTTCAATTGGGTAAAATCCATAGCTACAGCACAAAGCAGCCTTGTGCTCTGAGAGACAGCAGAGCTGACAGCAATTGGACCAGTGGTCTAAGGGCACCTGCACATTAGGATCACCTGGGAAACTTCAAAAAAATACTTATACCCAGTCCCCATCTCAGACCACATGGATCGGGATGGAAGGGTGGAGCTGGGCATGGGTGTTTTAAAGCCCCACGTGCTTTAAAAGGCAGGGCTGAGGACCAGGGCAGCAATTTCAAACAAGAGCACGCTCCTCTGGAGTTGCGTGATGACTTTCCAAGGGACATGCCCACACGAAAACTACTAATACTTTAGGGCAAGGGCCAGCAGACAAGGCCTGTGGCCCAAATCTGTTTTGTTGCCTGTTTTTTGTTTTTTTTCAATTTGTTAGTTTGTTTTTTGAGACAGTCTCACTCTGTCGCCAGCCTGGAGTGCAGTGGCATCATTATAGCTCATTGCAACCTCAAACTCCTAGACTCAAGCAATCCTCCTGCCTCAGCCTTCCAAAGTGTTAGGATTACAGATAGCAGCCTGCTCTCTGTTTTTGTACCCTGGGAAGAGGTAAGATGGTTTCTATATTTTTAAATATAGAAAAAATATTGGGGGGAAATCTATGAAATTAAAATGCAAGTGTCCATGAATAAAATTTCATTGAAATACAGCCACGCTTTTGTTTACATTGCCTGTGGCTGCTTCAAAGGCAGAGTTAAATAGTCTACACAGGACCGTATGGCTGGCAAAGCCTAAAATATTTACCATCTGACCCTTTATAGAAAAAACATTTGCTGACCCTGGTTTGAAGGGAATGGACACCCAGAACTTAACATCCCCTCCAGGAAATTACCTGCCTGGAACAGTAGCAGCTGTCAAGGTGTCAGATGTGTGGAGGCTCTTCTTTCCCACACTTTTTTTCATACTTGTCCTCCCTCTTGCTGAAGGAGGGTAGGCCTCACCGCTCTGGAGTATGAAAAAACCCCAGGCACTAGACAAAGGAGCAATCCCAAATACTGGTGTCTAATAGGACTCTGATTATCAGGTAACTGTTAATATATATATTTATGTATCTATATATCAATACATAGATATCAACATATATGCATTTAAATTTTTTTCCAAGTCAAGTGAGTTCCAAGTATTGTCTTACCAAAATTGAAGGAGAACCCAATCAAAAGTTGTGTCAAATCATTAAAAATATTCAGTGGGGCCCAGTGGGGTGTGTGTTTAGTTCCCGCTACTTGGGAGGCAGAGTAGGAGCATCCCTTGAGCCCAGGAGTCCAAGTCCAGCATGGGCAACATACTGAGACCTTCATCTCTAAGCAAAAAAGGGGAAAAAATTGCTGACAGATGCTGTATGATTTTTGGCATATAATTCAGAAGGGAGTTCAAAGAATTGAATAACATGGTTATGACAAAACTAGTGCCATAATCATTTATGTAAGCAAGGTTTGTTTAAGGCTTACATTGAAAATATTTAAAATGCTAAATGTTGCCTCACTTTATTAATAAGCAATAATTGTTCACAGATACGCAAACTAATTAGGAAGAAAAAATCCATTCATCTCATTAAAAGGTGAATTTCAAATAACAGCTTGTTATTATGTTTAGCAATTACTTATTAGCATGCGTAGTACATTTACATTATTTTGCTCAGTTGTGCAGAAATCATTGCAGCGGCGAGCGGAGGGCCTGGGCTTGTTACCAGCTGTGGCTCGGCGCTGTGCACTGGGCCCCGGAACTGCGCGAGCGGCTGGCCGGCCGGGAGTCCTGGTCTGCTTGTCCCTGACCTCGTGCGGGACACGCTGCCGTTTTTGTCTTACTCTAGTCACTTTCCACCCTTAGAACCAGGCGTCTAGGCCGGCCACACCGCGGGGAGGAGGGCCGAGAAGGTCGCCCTCTCGAAGCCGCCTGCCACAGGTGTCCATTTTTACACGACGTTATGTCCACACCTACTTAAATGTAGGATGAAAATTTTAGACGTCATCTTACAAACGTACGAGGGGGTTGGCGACACAAGCAAAGGTTCTCCGAGCCCAGCTTGACGCCTGACTCAGCAGGGCCTGCCCGGCGCGGGCTCACGGCTGGCGGCCAGGACCGGGCTGAGAGGACACCCACCGCCCCAGGCCCGGCGCTCCGCTCTGTCCCGACAGGTGGCAATACCCGGAGGGGCTCTGCGAGGCGGGGCTCTGCGGGCGCCAAAGGCCAGGCAGGGCGGTGGGCGGGCGCCCAGGTAGGCGTAGCGGCGCGGAAGGCGAGGCGGGCGGTGGTGGCGCCAGGCCGCTCGTCAGGCGGCGGGCGGCAAGCGCGACGCCAGGGCGCGGGTGGGTGCGCCAAGCGGCGCGGGCAGAAGCGAGCGCGGGCGGGCGCCCAGCAGGCGGGGCAACGGCGCCGCGCGCGGTGGTGCCCAGGCAGCGGCGGCGGGCGGACAGGACGCGGGGCCGGTAAGGCGGCGGGGACGGGCGCCCAGGCAGGCGGCGGGCGCCAAGGCGAGCGCGGGCGGCCGGTGGTGGGCCCAGGCGACGGCGGCGGAAAGAGCGCAGGTGGGCGCCCAGGCAGGGCGGCGGGACGGCGTGGGCCGCCAGGCAGGGCGGCGGGCGGTGGCGCCAGGCGGGCGGCGGAGGCGGCGCCGGGCAGTGTGGGCCAGGCACGCGGCGGCGGCAAGGTTCTGAGCGCACGCGGCGGCGGGTGAGTGGGCGCCCAGGCAGGGCGGCGGGCGGAAGGCGAGCGCAGGGCGGGCGCCCAGGCAGGGCGGCGGGCGGAAGGCGAGCGCCGGGCGGCGAGTGAGTGGGCGCCCGGGTGGAAGGCGGGCGGAAGGCGGGCGCGGGGCGGCGGGTGGGTGGGCGCCCAGACAGGGCGGCGGGCGGAAGGCGAGCGCCGGGCGGCGGGTGGGTGGGCGCCCAGGCAGGGCGGCGGGCGGAAGGTGAGCGCCGGGCGGCGGGGATGCGGATGGGCCGCGCGGGCCTGGGGACAGAGAGGGGGCGACGGGGGCGGCCTACGTCCTAAGGGACGAGTCGTCGGAGCCGCTAGACGCCCTCGGCGGGCGACAGCCGCCCGCGCAGACGTGCAGCGAGACTGGGGGGCGCGGCGTCCCAGGCGGCGGGGACCGGCCCTCCCCGCGCGGAAACGAAAGCGAGCGCCGCGGGCCGAGCGGAGGGCGGGACTCAGACCGACTTCCTGGGCCCGCGGCCGGCGCGGCGACAGGAGACTGGAAGAGCGGGCAGGGCGGGCGCCGGGCGGGGCGCGCACCCGGGACGCCGGGCGGAGGCGCCGAGGAGGGCGGTCCCGGCCCAGCCCGCCTCCGCACGGCGCTGGAAGCCGGAAGCGGGCCGAGCAGAGCAGACCCCGCTTCGCCTCCGCAGGGCGAGCCCGGGCTCCCTCGCTGCCCCGACGCCGGGCCATGGGGGCTCCGCGCCGCCGGCCACCCGTCGTGCCGGGGGCCCCGCTGGGGCCGCTGCTCCTGCTGCTGGGCGCGCTGGCCGCGGGCCACGCCTCCCTGAGGCTGCTGGACCACCCGGCGCCCGTCTGCTCCCAGCCGGTGAGACCCCGCCGGCCGCGCCGTGGCGGCACCGCGAGGAAGCTGCGGGCGCGGGGGGGCGCGGGGCCGCGCGGAGGGGCGCGTCCCCGGGCTCGGGCGGGCGGGGAGTAGGGGAGGTCGCGCGGCGCCTGCTGCACCCCTGGGCCGGCCGGCGCGGAGCTGGGGAAGGAGACCGCGGCGCGGGGACGGCGGGAGAGGCGGGAAGGGGCGGCGGGAGGAGCCCCGCGCCCTGCGTTCTGCAAACCCCCTTCGCTGCCCGGCGGGCCGCGCCGGCTTCGGGAGAGGCCCCGTCCTCGGAGGCGTACCCTAGCCGGTGCCCTCGGTGCCGCCGGAGGAGCCCGCCAGCCCGCGGCGGCCGTGCGGAAGGTGGGCCCGACGGGCGCCTGGCGGCGGGCGCAGGGGCTCGGCCTTTCGGGGAAGGGAAGCGTGCTGAGGGAGGCCGCGGGCCGCCTCCCCAGAGGGGCGAAGCCCGGAGGATGGGCGGATGCCTCCCCGGACACCGCCCTTCCCGCCAGCGTCCTCCGGGCAGAGGCCCGCGGGCTGCAGCCCCCGCTGCGCCCTCGGGAAGTGACACATGCGTCCGTCATGCGGTAGCTGCGCTGTGAGCCAGCCCATCTTAAGAAATCAGGGCGCCCCTCTCGACAGACAGCTTCCCCTCTTCCCCGGAGCCGTCCGTCTTGCCGTCGGTCTCTGAGTCGCAGAATGGAAACGCGGGTGTTTCTCCTTATCTGATTTTGTGGAAATTTTGGCAAAAGAGGGGGGAGGGTGAGTGACTTCAGCAGGAGGAAAAGTGTTTTAATGGGAACGATGTTGGGAATGTTCTCGTGGCTTCCACTGTTGGGCAGAGCGGGGACACGCGCTCAGCAGGTCCTTCCGCAGACTGTCACAGTGTTGCTCGCGTGTCGGTGGCCGTTTGTCAGGTGCCTGCCAAATACAGGCGCTATCCTACGAACTGGGACTATGAAGAAATGCTCCTGGCACCTGTCGTTCAGGGCTTGAGTCATCTCAGAGGGGAATACGGCTTGAGGGCAGGGAGCTCTTGCAAGGCAGCCTGTAAGCAAGTGCTCTTTGTACGACTGGTGAGTGTACAGAATTCCAGGGAAGAGAAAAATCACTTCCAGCTGGGTTGTCCTTCGTGGAAAATACATCTAGGCAGCCCTGAAGGATGACAGGAGCCCCAAAGACAGAGGCTGGCAGAGCATTCCAGGTGATGGGAAGGGTCTGAGCCAAGGTCCTTGGGTAGGACAGGGCAAGGTGTGCAGCCGGAGTAGAGGGCCGGTGCAGCAGGAGAGAGAGAAGGCGGTGGAAAGGGAGATACGGGCTCTGCTGTGGCGCGGGAGGGAGCGGGCTGTGACTTCCATTGCACAGTGAAGCAACAGGAAGTCAGGAGCTTGGCCTGGCTTCAGAGAGGGCCGAGAGGTGCTTGCTGGCCAGATCTGTCTGCAGTCTCTGGTTCTCTTCCTTCATCTCAATCCCTGCAAATGCACCTGGCTTGCACACAGCTCATCTCCACGGACAGACAGCTCTGGGCTCCATCCACTAGTCCTTTTAAAAAGAAAGGAACCACACCGCTCCAATTTCTTTGCCTCCCTGGTGTTTTAGTGGATGCAACAGTAATCTGGTAAGGGACAGCCACCGGAGTGGCTTCTGAGGACTTGGATTTGCATCCCAACTTCACCTTTTACACTCTCCGCAGCCTTGGGCAATTGAGTTGGGTTTCCTCATTTCCACTGGGCGAGCCTTCTCTGATTGAGCCCGCACCAAAATATAGGTGTCTACCGAGAGCCCGGTTAGATTTAGCCCTCACTGACTCCATTCTAAGACGGGGAGGATCTGCATGCCTATTCTGTTCCTGGCTCACTGCTACAAGCACCAGATTTGGGGGGGTTGATAAACATATGTTGAATGAAAGAACACAAGAATTCATGAATGAAGGAAAGAATAGTTAGCTGTGCTTGGAAAGCAGTGATAAGCTGAGGCAAGCCATAGCACTGGATGTGGCTGCCTTGGTTTGGCACCTAAAAACCCAGATGACTCTGATTTCCCCACAGAAATCAATACATGGGTAATTGCATTTCCCTGGGTGGTCTCTCAGTTGGCCCTTCTCCCTGCCTGGACTTTGTTGCTGGTTTCCCCTGACTGCCCACCCAGAGCCATCCCTAAGAGGAAAGGCAGCAACAACTTAGAGTTGGTCAGTGTGAATGCTGACACTCCGTTTGTAGGCAGGATGTATGTTTCATTTCAAATTCTTTTTTCCTGAGCACTGCGGTTTTGACCTGTGGTGGAGCAACTGTTCAGTTTAACCCTTTTATCTTCCAGTTGCTAGAAGCTGCTGTCAGCCATGCCACTCTTCCAGAGTATACAAAGTTGTGACCTTTCTACCAGGCAGGCACTGTGCCAGTGGCTCACATGCACACCTTCATCCCATGGTCACAAGCTAGTGAGTGGCCTCTGACCTGAGCTCAGGATCAAAGCAGGGCTGTGCATGGAACTTCAAGACCCACTTTCTTTATCAGGCTTCGTTATTGAATGCACAGAATCGAATACAGTTTTCCATTTCTTCCTTCTCGTCTTCACCACTATGGATAGAGTGGCCTGCCTGTTGGAGGTGTCCCTGTTTTCATTTGGAGAGGCAGGATGGCAGCCATGAAGAGCGTGGCGTGGGTTCTGGAGCAAAACTGCTGGGTTTGAGCATTGGCTCCGTGGGACTTGGGGCACTCAGCTGACCTCCTTGTGCCTCAGTGTGGCCAGTACAAACGGGATAAGGGTGCTTAGCTCTTAGGACTGTTGTCCAGATTAAATGAGATGTGTGTATAAAGTGCTTAGTATGATGCCTGGCACAAAAGAGCAGCTCAATAAACAGTCTGCTGTCATTGTCATTTTCATTGTCGTGAATCTCCTCCTCCGATTTTTGCAAGGCACCTCACATAATGTGAGTCACAAGCAGGTGGCTCCTAAATAATATTCTGATCCTGCTCTACTGTTTTTAAGAATGGGCAGTTTAAATAAAGAAATTAGGGATAACTGTTGGAGATGAAGTTGTTCAACAGAACAAGATGTGTCTTAGTAATATCAAAAGAAGATCCTGAATGAACTTTTTTACATTATCAACAATTTTATGTTATTGTCTATTCTTTATTAACATTAAATTATAAGGAAAAAATGTTCATTATTCTTTTCCCTAAGCAAATTAATGTTTTCATTTGTTTATCTCACTTTTCGATTCTTTTATTTGTCTGGAAGTTATCTCCTAGATAAACTTCTATCTTTTAATTTATTCTCATCAAGTAATGTTTAGTAATCCTCCTTTGAAAGTGGTACTAAGAAGTTTAAAACAAAGAACAACAGATCCCTGCCCCACCCAAACCTGCTCCCAAAATTATAATTCCTTTAGTTATTTCTTCTGACATGTATCTCCATATTTCTAAATGTACTTCTATTGTTAATCCTTGATCTGTCAATTTTAGATGTTATCGATTGACTTTAGACATTATCTATTAACTTGTAATACATGCAAATTGTCTTACCTTCCTTTCACCACTTCTCCTCCTTCTCCTCCATTATAGTTATATCACAATGTTAGATAAATCAGCAGTCAGCAGCCAGACATGATGGTATGCACCTGTAGTCCCAGCTACTGGGGAGGCTGAGGCAGGAGGATCATTGAGCCCAGGAGTTCAAGGCTGCAATGAGCTATGATCATGCCACAGCACTCCAGCCTGGGTGCAGTGGCATGATCCACTGCACTCCAGCAAGATTCCATCTCTAAGAAAACAAACCTAAATCAATATTCAGCATTTATATTATTATAATAAGTAATCTTCACTGCCAAGGCAAGTATGTGCACTTTGATTATACTTTTCTGTTACAGTTTCTTTCCTTCTCCCACTCCTGCCCCAGAGGTAATTGCTTTACTTCTTCACTTACATAATTTCCCATCTTAATAGTCTCAGTTTTTTCTATTAGACTTGTCATAACATTTTTTTCCCAATTATCACATAGTCCATCAATTTCATTCCCCCTCCCCCTGGAGAACTCCCTTCTGGAGCCCTCTGTTCTCCAGCTCCAACCTGGACTGACAGCTCTCTAAACTTGTGGTACAATTGTCATACCAGACATCCTGCCATGGTCAAATCTCCGAAGTCCCGTATCTTGTATCTTCCTCTGCAGGAGTTACTCCTTCAATTTGCTGGAGCGTATCCTCCTGCAATTTCCTAAGAACGTATATGAGGCATAGATATATATATAGAATACATGACATACATACATATAATGGAGATTTTATGTGTGTGTGTGCATGAAGTCTTTTCACATCTGAAAATCTCCCTATTCTACCCTTGCACTTTTTTGGATAATTTGGCTGGGTATAAAAATTCTAGGTTAAAGATAATTTTCCTTTATACTTTTGAAGGCATTGCTTTGTTGTCTTCTAGCAAATAGTACAGATGCTAAGAGAACCAGTGCCATTTTGTGTCCTGTCTCTTTGTGTGACACCTATTTTTTTCTCTCTGGAAATTTTTAGTATCTTTTTATTCCTGGTATTTCAATAGTTTCATGATGTTGGGCCTTGGTCTGGGTCTTTTTTTTACATTGTATGCTTCATTTAGTGAGTGAACCTTTTTAATTTGGCAATATGTATCCTTAAATTCTAGACTTTTCTTTTCTTTTAAATAATTTCTTCCATTCTGTAATCTCTGGAAAGCCAGTTAATCATATTTTGTATTTGCTAAATTGATTCTCTAATATTAATGTTTTTCTTTTCTCCTATTTCTGTTTCTCAGTTTTACAGCTCAAACCATCTATTGAATTTTTTATTTTCAAGGTTCATTTCTGTTCTATGCTTACTCATTTTCCCACAGTATCCTGTCCTTGTCTTATGGATGAAGTATCTTCTCATCTCTTTGGAGCTATTATAATTTTATCCGTTTGTTTTAATTTTATTCTGTTCTCAGCATTGTTTTATTTCCTCCAGGAACATGTTTAAAAATTTTGTTTTGATCTGTTTTTCACACAGAAAAGTCATCTTGAGTATCTGGTACTCCTTGCCTGAGAATACTTTAAGAATTAAGGCCTAGGTGGCATGCAGTGGCTCATTCCTATAATCCTAGCACTTTGGGAGACTGAGGCAGGAGAATCGCTTGAAGTTAGTAGTTCGAGTCCAGCCTGAGCAAGAGCAAGATCCTGTCTCTTCAAAAAGTGGACAGAAAAATTAGCCAAGTGCAGTGGTGCGCACCTGTAGTCCCAGCTACTCGGGAGGCTGAGGCGGGAGAATCACTTGAGCCTAGGAGTTTGAGGCTGAGTAATTATCACACCACTGCACTCTAGCTAGGGCAACAGAGTGAGAGCCTGTCTTTAAAAAATAAAAATAAATAAAATAAAGTCCTAAAAACATTGATTAAGTGCTGTGTGTGATTGGAATTAATTGAACATTGGACTTAACTGTATAGGAGGTCAGGCTAATTGTGAAGCTGGCCTGTTGGGTTAACCCTGGACGTTGAAATCTGGAGTTCTTTGCTCTAGGCCTGGCTGCCAGCACTCTGCGATCAGGGCAGGGAAAGACAGAAAAGTTCCCCGCATTTTGTGTGTAGATCTTCACTTGTCCTCCCTCCCTGCCTTCAGACCTGTTGATGGAGAGTTCTGATGAGGCTTTGGCTTCTGTCTTGTTCGCAGCTCCCTGTGCAGCAGCCAGGTGTAAATTTCTCCACTCCTCCTTGCACTTTGATGTCTGTTTTTGCAGTTTTATAATTCTGACAATCAGCTTATTCTCATCCACATTGACTGTGTAGATTTTTAAAAAGGTAACAGGTACATAGGTAACCAGAGTACAGAACTTGTTTGGTGACTCCTCATCTTCATTGCATTTTCTAGACAACTGCTCATGGACATGGTATGGGACAGTCCTTATTCCTTTGGCCTGGGCTGCTTAGTTAAGCCTGGTGTCAGTGAGCACATCTGGAGTCCTTCATGGCAGAGGTCAGGGTCTCTGAGTGCCTGAGGGGCTTGCTCATGAAGCCCACTGCAAGGATGTGTTTGTGAATGCTGATGTCAGATTTGCAGTTGCCACCTCATTGGTGGCAGAATGGCCCGTCTTCTTGCCACCCTTTTTTGTGGGAGACAAAGGGCTCCTGCTGGGCCCGAGATGGAAAGGAAGCCACTCTGACTTTTAAAGATTTGTTCACATCTCTTGTCTACTGAGGTTGCCTCTTTGTCCTTGAGAATTTGTAAAAATTTTCCCATTCCTATAATTTCATATGGCTTAGAGAAAGGGAGAAGATAATATGTGTACATGGTCAGCATGCTATCACCTCTAATGGAATTTTTTTTTTTTTTTTTGAGACAGAGTCTCACTTTGTTGCCCAGGCTAGAGTGAGTGCCGTGGCATCAGCCTCACTCACAGCAACCTCAATCTCCTGGGCTCGAGCGATCCTCCTGCCTCAGCCTCCCGAGTAGCTGGGACTACAGGCATGCGCCACCATGCCTGGCTAATTTTTATTATATATCAGTTGGCAATTAATTTCTTTCTATTTATAGTAGAGACAGGGTCTCACTCTTGCTCAGGCTGGTTTTGAACTCCTGACCTCTAGCAATCCGCCCGCCTCGGCCTCCCAGAGAGCTAGGCTTACAGGCGTGAGCCACCGCGCTCGGCCGGAATTTTTTATTCTATATTCCATTTATGTGCATGTTTTTCTATTTTGTTTGAATCTGTTTCCTCATATTTTCACTCGCTCCATCTCCTCTGCTTCCACCCCTTTGTCCTCAGTAACCAGCATGTTAACGCCTGGTGTATATCTGTCCACATGTTCTTCTATGCTCACACACAATCATAAAACATATATAAATATATTGGGAGGGCCGGGCGTGGTGGCTCACGCCTGTAATCCTAGCACTCTGGGAGGCCGAGGCGGGTGGATCATTTGAGCTCAGGAGTTTTAACAAGATCCCTTCTCTACTAAAAAAATAGAAAGAAAAAAAATATATATATATATTGCCAGGCATGGTGGCGCATGCCTGTAGTCCCAGCTGCTCGGGAGGCTGAGGCAGGAGGATCGCTTGAGCCCAGGAGTTTGAGGTTGCTGTGAGCTAGGCTGACGCCACGGCACTCGCTCTAGCCTGGGCAACAAAGTGAGACCCTGTCTCAAAAAGAAAAAAATAAAATAAAATACTTTGTTGTAAGCATGTTGTGAGGATTAGTGAAATAATTTATAGAAATCACCCAGAACGGGGTCTGGCACATTTTCCCTAGGGAAAGATTGTAGGCACTCAGTGAATTTTCCATAGCTGATGTGTAATGCGTACGGACTGTAATTTTTGTCCCCCTACACCTGACCTCTCGCAGCGTTGTTGTCCAGACCAAAGACTGGAAACCTCGAGATTCAGAGCCCTTTCCCTAGGGTGCCTGCGAGAAGCTGCTCAGTGTCCTTTAAAGTTGTAAGGCTCCCAGCTCATAAGAGTCACTCATGAAATGCCAGTTCCACTTTGCCTTTGCTGTACCCACACCTCATCCTGTCTGCCCTGGACTGGGCAGAATGGGAAAAGTATGAGGGAAAAGCCCCTCCACAAGCAAGAAGGGGGGCTGTGCAGGTTTCACTCTTGACAATTGGTTGTGGCCTGAAGCTGCTTCCCAGCTGTAATCGTCACCTTCTTTTTTTCCCTAGGGGCTGAACTGCACAGTCAAGAATAGTAAGTCATCCTGCTCTGCTCTCCTTGTTGTCTCCCCATCAGTCAATAAAGCGATGGCCTTGTGCTGAGTGCATGGGACAGAGCGGTGCCACGCCCCTCCGGTCTGGGCTGAGCTAGGAGCACAGCAGCAGGAGGGGCCCGCAGGGTCTTGGATGTGGGCAGCTGCGCTTCCCCATGCAAGAGTTGGGAACCGAGAAACAAGTGTCGTTTGGATTTTGAAAGTGTTCTCTGGGGTGCTCCCTCACGTGTCGGCAGCACAGTCCGCCTCGCCCCAGCTTGCCCCGGAAAGCAAGAGGCCTCTGTGGTGTTGGCTTTGTTTTGGGCCGCCTCCTTGTAATTCAAGGAGGCGGCGCATATTTTAGGTGCCTTTGCTAATTACAGACCCCCATGTGTAAAAATAAAGCAACTCTTACTTGCCCCCAGCCCTCCCGTGCCCTGTTTCCAACCACTGCCTCCTCTCAAAACCGAGTCGGCACTTTGTCTTCCCTCCCGGAACCCTTTAGACGCAGGGGCTTTCCATGACCGCACAGGAGCGTGGGAGAGAGGGAGCCGGGCAGGGACGCTGAGGACCCGGCTGACGGCCACAGCTGGCAGGCCTTCGGCTGTTCAGGTCTGGCTCTCTGGACCCGCTGCCGGGGCATCTCAGGGCCTCCGCAGCAAGTTGCTGACTGCTGCTGTTTCCTGGCTGCCAGGTACCTGCTTGGATGACAGCTGGATCCACCCTCGAAACCTGACCCCCTCATCCCCAAAAGACGTCCACATCCAGCTGCACTTCACCCACACGCAGCACGAAGACCTGTTGCCTGTGGCTCACGTGGAATGGATGCTGCAGACAGACGGTGAGGGCTGCCAGCAGGGTGCTGGGGGTCTCCCCACCGCCGGGCGAGGCCACGGCCCAGACCATCGGCCACCCCATTCAGGCTCGCAGTCCTGTGCTCAGATGTGAGGGCTACTATTACTATTCTTGACTGTGCAGTTCAGCCCCTAGGGAAAATTGAGCTCCCAGTCCTGTGCTCAGATGTGAGGGCCCAAATTTAGTGCCGGAGAATCTGTCGTTTCCTGAGTTAGTACTTTCTCAGGGTTTTAGATATTAGCCCACAGTGATACCTTCTCATCATACCATCCTTCATGAAAGGCCTTCCTTGAGCCTAAAAGTTTTGTCAGCATGGAAACAAAAAGGCCAACCGGTTAATTTTATGACTGCAGTACCAAAAATTTACTTAAAAAATGCTAACACGTTTGCCAACCTGCTTGTTCCCTTAATTTAGGGGCCAGCGCTGTTTAAAACATCCCCACGCCTCTTCAGGGCTAGAAAGTTTGCAGTACAGACTTAGGAAGATTGGGGCTGATGAAAGGTCTGTGAACAGGGTATGGGAAGTCCCCGCCCGAGTGCTTGCTGCTGCCGCGCCTGGGCCCCGGTGGCGATGGCTGTGCCCGCGCCCGGTGGCCAGCGCCCTAGCCGCACACTTACAGGGCCTTGCTTGTGGCCGGGTTAGAGCGTCGCGTGACCTCCCAGCCGGGAAGTAGCTGTCTGCAGGCAGTGGGCTGAGGCCCAAGAGGGCGCTGAAAGGAGCAGTGGAGAGTTAGGCAAGATGGGGCAGATTTCTTGTAGGAGAGAGCAAGTGTCACAGATGGGGAGTGACACGCCCCAGGTTTGCCTTGGTGATCCCACGTCTGTCTCCTCTCCCCGTTGACCTTCAGCCAGCATCCTGTACCTGGAGGGTGCGGAGCTGTCGATCCTGCAGCTGAACACCAATGAGCTTCTGTGTGTCAAGTTCGAGTTTCTGTCTAAACTGAGGCACCACCACAAGCGGGTAAGAACACAACTCCCGAGTGGATCTCCTTCCTCTGATGACACCACTGCAGACTCCTTGTCCCCAAACTTGGGCTCTGAGTTAGAGCGGGAAAGACCCAAAGGTGCTGGGAGAGTCTGAGGAACTCAGAACAGCTGCCCTCGGGGCGAAGGGCCAAGCCTGCTGCCCGCGGTGCTGGGGGCAGCCGCCTGCCTGGACTCCCCTGCTCTCCCTCCCACTTCCCCAGGCCCTCCGTTCTTAAAGGCAGTTAAGTTAGAAGATAGCTTCCACAGCCCCACCCCTGGCCCCTTTGTGTGTCACTTGGGTTACTCTGGGGCCTACCTCCTGAAAGAAAGGCCCTCCAGGGCCAGAGGACGGCCGTGGGTGGGTCCTGCCATGGTCCAGCCTCATCCTGCTGCCCATGGCTCGGTGCTCATGGCTGGGCGGTGAGACGCTGCCTCTTGCTCACACTGTGGTCCCCGGACCAGCAACGTCAGCATGGCCTGGAAACTTGTTACAGATGCACGTCCCGGGACCCCACCCCAGACATCCTGAACCAGAAACTTGGAGGGTGGGGCCCAGCAGTTGGTGTTAAACAGCCTGGGTGATTCCGATGCAAGCTGTAGTTTGAAAACTACTGGCTTAGCTCTGCAGATCACCACTTTAAAACAAGCTAGGTGGTCCGCAAGCACAAGCAGCAAAGCAGAGCCCCTCTCCAGTGGTAGGTCAGGCCCCCACACCTGACAGCTGTGTGGACGGTTAGAACCAGGTGCCTAGATCTGCTCACGAGCAGAGGACGCCAGGGCCCTCACCAGCGTGGTCAGGATGGGAGTCGGAGTCTACGTGGAGAATCCACGCCACTGAGACAATAACTCCGCACAAATGTGTTATCTCTGTGACAAAGGCCCGCGGGCCCAGAGTGCATGGGGGTCTCTAGCTCACCCTGTGTACCTTTTTGCTCCAAAATGTTCTCAAGAGATCTCTGGCTTTTCCATTTAAGGAAGAAGAATCACATAACCAGTGGTTCTTAGCTGCCTCCTATGTGCCGGCCCCCCTGGCCCTAGGCCCTGGCCCGGCTCCCTCACGCCTGTCCTTCCGGAATTTGAGGGGGCTGATGGCAGAGGAGGATGCCTTCCAGTCCTCAAATTCTTTTGCATTATGGCACTACCTGCTGATGAGGCCAGATCCAGGTTTGTTTAAATAGGCAGAAAAGACCAGAGGAAACAAAGATAACTGGTACCCCTGGTTTTAGGTTTGTTGTGGTTTTATTCTTGTTTTGAGTGAATATTTGGTGGCTGGTGGGTGAGAGAGGTGTAGTATAACCTGCCCAGTGTCCCTTTCCTCCCTTTAGTGGCGTTTCACCTTCAGCCACTTTGTGGTAGACCCTGGCCAGGAGTACGAGGTGACCGTTCACCACCTGCCCAAGCCGATCCCTGATGGGGACCCCAACCACCAGTCCAGAAACCTCCTTGTGCCTGGTAAGAGCATTCTCCCAAAACAGCTGTTCCCCACTGGGCTCTATGAGCCGAAAGTAGCAGGTCCTGAGATGTCAACCTTCCTGCTTCGCGAGGCAGTGCCTAGAACTGCCAGCCTGTGACACCCACAAAACAGACAGATGCAGGGGACTGGGAGTCCATTGGTGTGCAGCTGCAGCTCTGCTCCCTGAAGGCAGAGCCCATTCACTGTTGGCACAGCAGTAGGCATTAGCCCAATATCCCAGGAGTTTCATGGGAACCACAGTCCCTCTCTGTCTAGAGAAGTGCCCTTGTCAGGAAGACAAGCCACTCATGGAAGAGTCCCAGCCCCTGATCTCAGCCTGGTCCCTGCCTCCATCACTTGTCCTTTTCTCTGCACCACCTCCTGCCTGCGTTCACCCAACACCCACCCCGCAGTGACGGCCCCGCGCCCCACCAGTCCTCTGCCAGCCTTCTCTCCGGCGCCTGCGGCGTGTGCACCTGCTCGCCCTCTGTCCTCCCAGAGCCGCAGCCAGTGCGAGTGCTTCCCGCGGTTCAAAGGCAGCGCGCCTGGAGCCCAGCCTGCCTGAGGGCGAGGTCTGGTCTTCTGCCCATCTGTGTGGCTCCAGAGCCTGGGGATGCCTGTGTGTGGCAGGTGGCAGGAAGTGCTTGTTAAGGAGGTGATCCCTTTATCCCTGGAACACGCTGCACAACATGTGCACACAGTTTACCCTGCTTTGCTTTTCTGCGTGATGTGTGTTACTTGCTGTTATTGGTCTTGTCTGTTGGAGTGTGATCCCCAGAGGACTGGGACTTTGTGTGACTCGCCACTGTATCTTTCGTGTCTAGAACAGCGCTTGGCACACGTTAGGTGCTCAGAGTGTGTTTGTTGAATGAGTAAACCTCCCCTGTTCCTAAAATGGACTGACTGTCCCTGCCCCTCCATGGTGGCTCACACCTGTCACATGTCTTCTTAAGCCTAAATACAAATATTGCAGTCCAGGCAGTCTGGAGGAGGACCAAGAAGGTGATTGGAGCAGTGGGCCTCAAGCTGTGGTCCCTGGGCCAGCAGCCTCAGCAGATGACCTGGGCGCTTGTCAGAATGCAGGCTCTGGCGCCGCCCAGACCCGAGTCAGCAACCTGACGGTAGTCACCGGGAAGTCCGCGGGTCCCTGCCCTGGGCGCCAGAGTGCTGCTCAGCTCGAGGAGGCAGCTCTGGAGAGAAGCAGCTGTCAGTGCCAAGAGAAGGGCCCGGCGGGGACCAAGAATCTTCAGTCACCCACAGCAGGCCCAGGAGGAATAGGCTGGAGTCGGGAGGTTCCCTGAGAGAGGACAGGCCCGCCCAGCCAGCCCCCAGTCTGTGGCCTCTGGCCAGTGGCAGCTGTCCAGGCCTAGAGCTCTCTTGAAGGGGCCCCTTTGAATGGCTCCCTGAAGGAAAGAGATCCCGTCCCCGGTGTCAGGAATCCAGAAGAACAAACTTCTAAAGCGAAGGCTTGACGATTGTTCTTTCCGGGCCGGCAGGCTGCGAGGAGCCCAGGATGAAGGTCACCACGCCATGTGTGAACTCAGGTAAGCGTGCAGGCCGGGGAGGCTGGCCCTGGGCGCACACGCACCGCCACCCTCACGCCCGCCTGCGTCTGTGCCCCGGCAGGCAGCCTGTGGGAGCCCAACATCACCGTGGAGGTCGCCGAGGCCCACCAGCTGCGCGTGGGCTTCGCCCTGTGGCACGAGCCTGCCCGCTACCAGCTCCTGCTGAGCAGCTTCCCCCACGCCGAGGACCACGCCTGCTTCGAGCACGTGCAGCGCGTGGCAGCGGTACGCTGCCGCTTCCCGGCCCTCCAGCCCCGCTCAGACGGCCCCCGGCCGCGTCTCCGCTGCTGGGCCTGGCGGGCCGGGCAGCTCAGAGCTCGTGCCAACTCTGTCAGCAGCCACCGCGAGCCGCCTCGCCCTTTTCTTCCCTGGGGGTGCGCAGGTGGCTCCGGAGCGACCTCTCTTGCTGACCTCACAGTCAGGGCTGCACCTGAAACAGGAGCCGGCCCCGTCCCGCAGTGATCGGCCTTTCTGTCCTTCCCTCCCCACGCGCTCCCCGTTCCCTTTTTGTTTTGCTGTGTTTGTTCTGCTTTATCCCAGAAAGGATTTGAGGGTTTAAAAAAAAGAAAGAAATGTGGAAATTAAGGCAAAGGAGAACTAAAGATAAGGAAATAAGATGCAGCCAGGTTAGTGCCGGAAAGGTGTTGTGCTGGTTGGTGCGGGTGCTTGGGTGTGAACACACACATATTTGTGCCCTGATTCCAGGCAGCCAAAGCTAAGAGGGAACACCAGTTCCTAGCTGTGCTTATGAGTTAGCAACAAACCGGCTGCCTTGCAGAAATGGAGTTTTTCCCTGGAACAGAAACCTGAGGAACACGTCTCCCTCTGGGCTTCGCAAGGAGCTCCCTGGACAGCAGAGCGTTCTAGCAGCTTCCTGGTGCTGCCACGCAGGTCCCTAACTGGCCAGCCTTCCCCGCCCTCCCTTCTCTCTGCAGCCCAGACGCGAGTATTCCCAGCAGCGGTCCAGCGTCACGATCACTGTCCACAACTCGGACTGGTGCTGCCAGCACCGCGTGCAGGTGGGGGAGTGGCGTGGGCAGGCGTGGGAGCGAGCGCTGGCGGGCTTCCCTGCAGGTGGCCTCGCGCTCACCCCAGCACAAGGCGGGGGCCCTTCAGCACCCTGTTGCCGATGTGGGATCTGGCCCAACAACCCCCCGGGCCGCCGTTACTCTCAAATTACCTCTGCTGGTGAGAAAGCACCGGGTCTCCGCACCCTCGCAGCCCTCCCTTCTTCGCCCCTTCTCTGCCCACAGATCCAGCCCTTCTTCAACAGCTGTCTCAATGACTGCCTGCGCCACTCTGTGACGGTCCCTTGCCCAGACGCCCCAGAGACTCTAGGTAGGAGGAGTGCGGCTCTCCTGGGCCATGTGGGGGTGAGTGCGTGAAGGTCTGAGCCGGTTCCTGACCTGGCTCGAGGGGACGTGGGGTGGAGAGTCTGATATAACTTGGAGCCCCTTCAGGGGCTTCGAGTGTCCCTCCCTGGGCTGGAGTCCTGACTGGCTTTCATTAGCTGTGCAGCCTTGGGCAAAATACTTAACCTTTCTGGTCCTCTGCTTCCTTGACTGCACCACGGGGTGGATGTTATCACAGAGTTCTGTCCATGTACTGAACAGAGCATTTTAACATCCGCACAGAGTGCGAGTAACGTTCATAGATGTTAAGTGACTTGTCCAAGATCACACCAAGGACGAGGCAGAGCCCTGGGGTCTGAGCTGCGGCCTTGACACTCCAAGGCTCACAGGCCAGCATCCCCTTCAGAAGCCGTGTGCCCCTCCGTGGAGGCCACGCTGCACACTGGCCAGAGCAGAGCAGGTGGGACACTAGGCTGGAGGAGAAGCCCGGCCTCCCTCCCACAGAGGGGGAGAGGTGTCTCTTCCTACAGCAGCCGCTGAAGGCTGCCCACGGAGGAGGTTTCATTAAGTGTAGCAGAATCTAAAGTGCCTGGAGCGGGGCCAGGCTCATCAAGGCCCCCAAGGGTGTCAGCGGTGGTTCCTGATGACTGCTGGTAATGAAGAGCCCCTTCCCCTTCTCCCCCACTCTCATTGCAGATGTGGTTGCAGGTAAGCTCAGATCTCCCCACAGTGCTGCGGGTCCTCGGGGGCTTTCGGCAGGGGCCACGTGAGCCGCCCCTGACTGAGCCAGGCAGGCAAGGCCAGCCCAGAGGGCGAGCCGTGCGGGCCAGAGAGGAGGAGCCCAGGGGCCAGGGATGCGGGCAGCAGCGCAGCCCGCCACGCCACTCTTGTGTCCTGCTCGCACAGACTCCCCGCCCCTGTGGGTGTACGGCTTCGGCACCGGCGTCTCCCTCCTGCTCGTGGGCTCCGTCATCCTCTTCATCCTCTGCATGACTTGGCGACTGTCCGGTAAGAGGCATGGTCGGGCTGCCCCGGGCTCTCCCTTCTGCGCCCCTTCCTTCCTGCTCTCCCTTATCCCCCTGCTGCAGCCTCCAGCTGGTCCTCTTTGGAAGCCTGTGCTCAGGGGCATCTTCAGTACTAACCTCAATCTCAGGTTACGTCACCTGGCTTCTGCCTTGCCTCGGCCTCAGTTATCAAGAACCTGGAGCCTGGGGCTGACCTGGGCCCTGAGCTTCGGCTTCCTCTCGTAAAATGGTGATGGCAAAATAATGATGCTTGCATTGTAAAGTATTGTAAGGATTAAGTGAAATCATGCACGTGATTTTGAGCTTAGAACCTGGCACGTGATATTTACCACTGTCTGTTAGCCACAGTTATGTTTGTCATTAAAATCAGCAGGCTGGAGCCGGGCATGGTAGCTCACACCTGTAATCCTAGCACTCTGGGAGGTGGGAGGGTCGTTTGAGCTCAGGAGTTCGAGACTAGACTGAGCAAGAGCAAGACCCTGTCTGTATGAAAAAATGGAACTTAGCTGGCCAACTAAAAATATATAGAAAAAATTAGCCAGGCATGGTGGTGCATGCCTGTAGTCCTAGCTACTCGGGAGGCTGAGGCAGGAGGATCAGTTGAGCCCAGGAGTTTGAGGTTGCTGTGAGCTAGGCTGATGCCACGGTACTCTAGTCCTGGCAACAGAGCAAGACTCTGTCTCAAAAAAAAGAAAAATCAGGCTGGACGGAGCCAGAGTGGAGTTGCCCTGCATCAGCAGTGCTCAGCCAGGCAGGCATAGTGGCCTGAACAGCCCTGTCCTGCAGCCCCAGCGCCCACATCTGGGGCCAGAGCAAACAGGGTGGGACAGCGTGGTGGGACAGAAGGCCGGGGTTTTGACCAGAACCAGAGGAGCAGATCCCAGCCCCACCACCAGCCTGCAGTCATAGGCTGGTTGTGCAACAAGCCGTGCATAGGCTTCGTTTTCCTTTCTGTTAAGTGCAATCCGGATCCTTCCCTCCTGGCCCCGGCTGTGGTGAAGGTTGGCGAGATAGCGGGGTGGGGGGGTGCTGGCTGGCAGGGATCAGTAAATCCAGCCCCTCCCTCCTGGGGCCTCTGCAGCAAGTGCCAAGCCGGGAGGACAGGATGTGGGTGGGAGCCCTTCCCTGCCCCTCCACGACCCTACACTGCCCCTTCAATCTTCTGCGAAGCCATTGCCACACTTGCCAAAGCCCTTCAGGGTTCAGTCTTAATCACTGTTAATTCCTGGAGGTAGAAAGAAGCCACCCAGCTGAGCAGACCTGCGGGAGGCACCTCCTCCCGAGCGTCCCCCCGTGACCTGTCTGTGGAGGTCGGGCTTTTGTCTCATTTCTGCTGTCTGCGTCTGGCCTTTCCAGGGTGCCCCTGTGCGGGGTGCAGGGAAGGGGGAACCTCGCTAGTTATCTGACTGTCTTTCGACAGTTGAGAATGAGGAATGAAATTAAGGTTCTAAACCTCTTGCACGGTCACCTGTGGATTTCAGCTGTCCCTGCTGTCACCGAGGAGTTAACTCCGGCAGTGTCACCACATCTTGAGGGGAACAGTTGCTTAAGTATGTGGGCTTCCCTTCCTCACCTCAGAAATACCAGGAGGAGATGTCGTGAGTGGGCGGGTGCGGGCGGCTTCTGGACAGGAGTGTGGTAAGATGCTCGCCTCCCAAGAGACACTTACGGAGCAGTGTCCCCTCACGTGGAGTCTGCTGAGGTGGCCACACTGCGTGGGGGAGACCAGGACGCTAACGGGGGACCAGGGCACAGCCCCCCAGCACCACTCCGGGGGCCCTAGCTGGGTCGGTGCTACAAAACAGTAATTGTGACCCCAGTTGATTGAGCTGTGCGGTACGCCAGGCACTTCACATACAGTGTCTCATTTAATTGAGATTAAACACAGACCCGCGTTATGGAGGAGGAAACTGCTTTTCTGAGGTGTTAGTCACCGTCTCTGACCACACAGCTCGCAGTGGCAGACCCAGGCCCCGGCTGCGCGACTAGCCACATGGCCTCCACGAAGGCCGGGCGTGGCCAGTGACTGCTGGCTCAGGGCTTGCCCTTACTGCTCCCGCTGACACCAGTGTCTGGTCCCGTTTCTCTTCCCAAGGGGCCACTCCAGTGTATTTCTTTTCCTTTCAGGGTCTCATCATGAGAAATATGATGATGACACCAAACACACAGGTAAGTACTTCCTGGATCGCGTGTGCGTGTGTTGGAAGGTGGGGGGCTCTCCTGGGGTAAGCGGGTGGGTCGCCTTCGCAGTCTGACTCCCAGGTCTCTTCGGGAGACCCACGTTAGGACCCCCACTTCCTGTACCCAACTCAGAGGGCTTGCAGGGAGACCCCAATAGCAAGGCCTGGGTGCCATCGTTTAATCACTCAGACGAGGAAAGGAAGGTCAGTACAATATTTTGTGAAAAGAGGCCCTCCCTGGGGCAGACATTTCTATTCCACTGGCAGGCCTTTGTGCCTCTTTTCTTGTTTGGATTAAAGTGATTAAAGTGCAGGCTAAAGACTAGGTAGGATGTGTGAGCCACAGAGATTCCTCTTCTCACAAGGCACCAGACTGGGATTTTTTCTGGCAGCCAAAGCAAGGTGAAGCAGCAACCTCTGGCTTGTTGCAAAAGGCCTGTGTCGCGTGCCTTCGGCCAGGAGCCAAGCTCGGGCCAGGCCCCTCCCAGGTGGCCAGCAGGGGGCGCCGCCCTCGGCCTGTGGCGGCAGGGTCAGCAGGCGTGTGCCCTTGTTTCCTTAGATGTCCTGCCTGCAGCCGACCTGACCCCCCCACCCCTGAAGCCGAGGAAGGTCTGGATCGTCTACTCGGCCGACCATCCTCTCTATGTGGATGTCGTCCTAAAATTCGCCCAGTTCCTGCTCACCGTCTGTGGCACGGAAGTCGCCCTCGACCTGCTGGAGGAACAGGTCATCTCGGAGGTGGGGGTCATGACCTGGGTAGGCCGCCAGAAGCAGGAAACAGTGGAGAGCAACTCCAAAACCATCATCCTGTGCTCCCGGGGTGCCCAGGCCAAGTGGCAGGCCATCCTTGGCTGGGAGGGGCCCGCCGTCCAGCTGCGGTGTGACCGCAGGAAGCCCGCGGGGGACCTCTTCACGGCGGCCATGAACATGATCCTGCCAGACTTCCGGAAGCCTGCCTGCTTCGGCACCTACATCGTCTGCTACTTCAGCGGCATCAGCAGCGAGGGCGACGTCCCCGCCCTCTTCAGCGTCACTCCCAGATACGCCCTCATGGACAGGTTCGAGGAGGTGTACTTCCGGATCCAGGACCTGGAGATGTTCGGGCCCGGCCGCATGCACCGCGTCGGGGAGCTCACAGGCGAGAACTACCTGCACAGTCCCAGCGGCCGGCAGCTCAGGGAGGCTGTGGAGCGGTTCCGGGAGTGGCAGGCCCGGTGCCCCGACTGGTTTGAGCACGAGAACCTGTGCTCCACGGATGACCAAGACCTCCCGTCCCTGGATGAAGAGGTGTTTGAAGAGCTGCCAGGAGGGGGCATCGTCAGGCAGAGGCCAGTGGTGCGGGAGCCTGCCTCCACGCAGGGGCTGGCGTTGAGCCTGCTCCTCGGCAGGGAAGGGGGCCTGTGGAAGCTGCAGCCTCAGCTGCCGCCAGAGGGGCGGCCGGCGGCCCAGCCCCTGCAGACCACAGTGCTCCCGGCAGAGAAGGCCGCTCCGGCTCGGGCTGCAGAGCCCCTGCCTCTCCCCGACGCTGACGCTGACGGCGGCGGCGCGGCCAGCTGGCTGGCGGTGCTGGAGGGAGGCGAGGCCCGCCCGCTGCTGGGGGGCTGTGGCCCTGAGCAGAGTGGTGTGCTCTTCCTGCCTGTGGACTCGGGGGCCCCGCCTCGCTGCAGCGCCCCGCTGGCGTCGCCCGCGCCCCTCCCGAGCGAAGCTCGAGAGCAGCTGGAAGGCTTGATGGTCTCACTCCTCCAGCAAGACGCCTACACGGCCTGCGAGGAGGAGCAGCGGCAGTCAGTGCAGTCTGACCAGGGCTACATCTCCCGGAGCTCCCCACAGCCCCCCGACGGGCTCAGGGAAATGGAGGAGGAGGAGGAGGGGGGGGAGGAAGGCCTGGGGGAGTCAGCCAGGCCACTCTCGCTGGAGGACCTGGAGAGGCTGAGGGGCCTGCAGCGACAGCTGCTCTTCCAAGAGCTGCAGGAGAACGCTGGCTGGGACAGGGCGGGGTCAGAGAGGCCATTTGTGCCAGGGCAGGCCCCCGCCTAGGGGCTGCCAGGTCCCCAGCGTCGAGAGAGGGGTGTGTGTGCTTGTGGGTGTACACATGTGTGTACATGTCTGCGCACATGTGTGTGAAGCATGTGCTTGCAATTGTAGACATGTTGACTCTCATCCCTAGGCACCCCCTGACTTTCCATTATGTGGCCATCTGGTTATCGTCTGTCCCTATGGACAGCCCGTTTCTGGGAGCTAATGGCAGAGTGACTTCAAGTCTCTGTCATTTGCTCATTCATTCATTCAGCATTTATTTTGCACCTGCAATTCGGATTCAAAGATAAATTGCACAGGGCATGGCCCTGGCCCCAAGGAGCCTCGCACCCATTGAGAAGATAAGCAGAAAAGTCACCTGGCCCGGGGGGAGGTTCCTAGAGGAGGTGATGTCTGAGCTGGAGGAGAGCGTGTTGCCTAGTGACGGTTGTGGTTGGGGCAGGTGCAGTCCCGGGGCAGGGCCAGCCCTCGCTCCATGCTGGGAGGTGAGCAGAGGGAGCATCAGGTGGCTGGAGTGGAAGTGGGGGTGGGGGATTCAGCCAGAGCTCAGCCTGTGGACTGGGTGGGAGCTGGGACGTCAACCGAAGCCTGGGACTCCTTCCTGTGATGGGCTGTCACCCAGCAGGGGGGACAGCTGAGGGCCAGACACACCCAGAGGACACAGGATAGAAATGTGCGAAGTGAAACCCGCATTCAGCAGGGAGACAAATGTGACATCCTGAGCTTGTGTTTTGCCAGTCAGTCAGCGGAGGGCTGCGGCAAAGGATTCTGCAGCCCCCTGAGCTCAGGAAGCTCTGGCGTGCAAGGACAGTGTGAGGGAAGGAGACAGCTACGGGCCCGCAGCAGGAGGAGGGAGTGAAGGTCTGGACAGACCCTTGCCGGGGGGACGGTGTGCCACTCTGTACTTCACCGTCGCACGTTTGAGGAGAGACTCTGAGGCCCAGTGTTTGAGGAAATTGTTGCTGAAGTGCCATCTTGGGGTACGGGTCCTGAAGAACACTGATGCCATCGGACCCTGGAATTGCGTGTCTCTGTTCCCGTGCTTGCATCCTTAGCTGTACTTCCAGGAGGTGATTCAGAGACGTGATGGGAAGGCAGATAGCGCAGTGGTGTGCACGCACACCTGTGCACGAAAGGGAGATTGTCAGTAAAGGAACACGCCCGGGCGCGGTGGCTCATGCCTGTAATCTCAGCACTCTGGGAGGCCGAGGCAGGAGTTTGACTCCTGGTCAGGAGTCTCAAGGTCAGGAGTTTGAGACCAGCCTGAGCAAGAGTGAGACCCCGTCTCTACTAAAAAATAGAAATAAATTAATTGGCCAACTAAAAATATATAGGAAAAATTAGCCGGGCGTGGTGGCGCATGCCTGTAGTCCCAGCTACTCGGGAGGCTGAGGCAGGAGGATTGCTTGAGCCCAGGAGTTTGAGGTTGCTGTGAGCTAGACTGATGCCAGGGCACTCTAGCCCGGGCAACAGAGTGAAACTCTGTCTCAAAAAAAAAAAAAAAATGCATCCCTGTTAATTCTGGTAAGAATTTCTAGTACTTATTCTGGGTCAGATATTACTGTAGATGGAGAATTCCTAGTTGTCGAGTTCTTGCAGTGAGATTTTGCCTAGTGGCAGCAGGGCCAGCAAGGCTCCACGTCCCAGATAGTGCGTAGCGCGTGGTCGGCCCAGCAGCAGTGAAGGGCCAGGCGAGGGAGAGGAGGAACTGCGGCTTCCCAGCCTCCAGCCTCGGGCCCCATCTCTCTCGTCTCCAGTGATCCTGGAGGGGAGCATCACTGGGTGTGGACACCTGCCAAGCTTCCTGTGACATTTCCCCAGCTTCCGATAAGCACTTACTCCGTGCCCAGGGTGCAGAGTGCCATGGTGGACTCTTCCCTCCCCAGAGCCAAGGCTCTGCCTGGCAGCAAGACAGACCCAAGCCACTGTCGCCCCAGCGTCCTGGAGCACTCCGTCACTTTGATGCCGTTTCTCACACACCTTGAATTCTAGCTCTGCTGGCCTTTGAGGCCATCCCAGTGAATGTCCCCAGTTGGTGTTGTCCGTGGTGTCCCCTTTATCAGGATGGCTGCTTTTGTTCCTGACAGTTTTATTGAGATACGGGTCACAATTGATCTGATCTGTACAATTAAGTGACTTAGAGTAGTCACAGAGCTCAGCCACCAGCGCAATTTTAGATCATTTTATTACCACTGAAAGAAACCCAGCTCCCCTTTGTCACCACCCCTAACCTTCCATCTCTGTGCATTTGGCTGTTCTGGACATGTCCTCTAGAAATGGAACCATAAACTTCCCCAGGGTGTGTTGGCCCTTCCTTAATGTCATCCCTGCTCCTCCTCACGGTGCTGCTGCGCCCCTGGAGCCCTCAGGCTCAGGCTGGTCTTTGCTCACAGTAAGTGCTGGGAATGGGGTCAGCAGAATGTGTCTGTCAGCCAAGAGTCTCAAGAGCGAGTATAAATAAAGCCAGACTTAACACATATTTTTGTGTTATTCTGAACCGTGGCTAATAAAACCCTGTTGCAACCGAGAAGCACCCCTCCAAGAACAGATGCCCTCAACACTGTCACTGCCACCTCTGGCCCTCTCCCGGAAAGAGTGCCAGAGGTGGCCCCGGGCAGGGAGCACCCCAGTCCACAAACCCTGCAGCAGAGCCTCTGCCCACGCCTGGCATCCCCTGCTGCCATGCGCACAGCCAGGCGCTACCCCTGTGTGCAGTCCATCACTTCTCCTGACTGCTGTCTTGACCCTAGATTTTTTTGGAAGGGAGAAATAAGTAGATGGTGGTGTGGACGTTGCTTGATATAGTGCTTTAGTTCAAAACCAGTTTCTCTTTTCTGCTTAGAAAGGTCCTCAGAGGTGGTTAGGTTCTAAAGAGGGTTTTGTTCAGTTCCTGAACCACCCATTCAGCAGTCTGAGCTGCGATCTCTGAATGCAAGGTGTGATGGATTTACTTCTTTCCTGCTTATCCTTGAAGCTTAAATAGGGTGTAAGAGGCGAGAGGCCCTGCTGTGTCCCAGTGCCTCCTGAGCAGGCCTGCTGGCGGGGGACAGGAGGAGCCAGGGAGCCCCAGCCAGGGTGAGCTGCCATCCCACTGGGCCTGTGTCCCAGGAGGCGGGTGTGTCAGGAGGGCGATGTGCTCCTGCCTGGTGACAGGGCTGGCTGTGCGGAAGAGCAGGCAGATAGCACGCGTGGCCCGTGGGGCGCTGACACGCACTAGCCCGCCCTCCTCATGGGCACCTCCAGGGCATCTTATCTCCATGTCCCCGAGGCCCAGGAAGATGAGGCAGGTGGCCCCATGCACGCTGTAGTCAGGAAGGGAATTCGACTGGACCCGGCTGGCTGCCTCAAGCGTGCCTGGCAGCGGCGCAGCTGGCCCTCCCCTGCGCTCCGGCAGCGCAGGGCTGTGCTCAGTCCCGGGCAGCCCAGCCCCGCTTGGCCGCTACAAAGCACCTTCTGGTCTGTCCAGCGAGCCAGTCAGCAAGCGCCAGCGTGCTGAACTAGAAGACATTGGTGTTTGCTACATGCTTGGTCAAATTAATCATCTTATTGCATGTCAGATTTAGGAATAGATGCAGTCTTCTGTTGTTCTGTAAAGATTTTGTGTGTAAATTTTGTCCCCTCTTATGATTGTAAATGTCTTGGGGAAAAGGACCTGTTTGCATACGTTGCCTCATCTTATTCCTACCACAGCCCTGTGAGGCAGGTGAGGCTGCTCCTGTTCCACAGTGATGACAGGGCTCTGGGAGGCCGGGGACTGCGAGTGGGAGGCAGAGCACGCCTGGTCTCCCGGCCTTTCGGCTGTGACGCGCCTCCCTTGTTCCCCTGGACCAAATCCCTGTGTGGCCTTTGGAACCTGTAGGGTGACAACACAAAGTGGTTTCAGTAGTACCAGCTGCCTCTGTGCTAAACAAATACTATGCTTTTGTTTTGGTGCAGACCCAGTGTTCTGCCTTAGACTTCATAGTACCCTCATGTTAAGACAAAACAAAATCCCTGGCCTTGTTCATCTCATACATAAGAACTCATGCTCCGGCTGGGGCAGGGGCGATAAGGGAGGGCAGAGTGTTTAGAAATTAGTTTCTCAAGCCTTTCCCTTTTTGTAAGCTATTCTTAGAAGTGGGAGGCTGGGCGTGGTGGTGCACACCTGTAGTCCCAGCTACTCAGGAGGCTGAGGCAGGAGGATCTCTTCAACCCAGGAGTTTGAGGCTGCAGTGAGCTATGATCACACCACTGCACTCTAACCTGAGCAACAGAGTGAGACCCTGGAGAGAGAGGAGAGAAAGAAATGGGAGAGGAAGCTCAGGGTGACACGGAAAGTCACTGTCAGCTGAGTCCAGCCGAGCTGGCTGTGCTGAAGAAAACCTGGCTAGACACCCACCAGCTCTAGGCCACAGCCTCCCCTGCCCGGACGGCAGGCCCACTGCCTGGAAGGAAAGGGTGAGGTGGGCCCACAGTGTTGACACAAACCTGTAAAATGGTGACAAGTGTCACAGTGACATTTAAGAATTTAGTAAAGAAACCAGGACAGAAAAGATCTTAAACCACACAGGAAGCTTGTCACAAGTCTCAAGTTTTTTATTTTCGGAAGAGAGCCTGGTTTTATTTTTAAAAAGAGAAGGAAAGAAAAAACTGTGATAAATGCTAGTGAGTGCCACTTCCCTCCTCCTTCCAGGCTCTGACCGACAGCCAGCTCTCTTCCACAAAACCCACAGACTTAGAGCCAGGGCTCATCAGAACAGGACGGTCTGTGGAGGGAGCTCAGAGTAGGGAGCTGGCAGACGCGGGCTCTGAGCCCAGGGCTCTTTGAACCGTGCCCACAGTTGGTCTGGCCTCCAGAGACAGTGTGCCATCCTGGTTATCAGATGCGCGGGGGACATTTCAGGCTTGCCCTCGTGCTATAGATGCCCTAGAAAGTAAGGCAAAGGAAGCTTTAGGGGTCGTCTCTCATTAGGAACGGGCAAGGGGAGTACAAGGACTCAAGAAAAACACCCCAGAAGAAAGGGACCAACCCCTAAGCACAAAGTGCTTGCACCAAATGTGTGAAAGATGCCCAGGGGTGAGTTGGCGGCCATCAGACAAGGCCTGAGCAGGCCAGGCCTATGCCACATTGGCCCAGTTGCCATCAGTCTCTTGACGTGCCCAGGGAAGTGGCAGCTCATTGGAACTTATCACAGCCTTCCACCAAAACCCAACAGCACCCAGAGTTCACAGTCGGGGAGACCCAGCAGAGAGACGGCTGTCTAACAGTAGGGGTGGGGGTTCAGGGCCAGCCAGGGGTGGCCATGGCTCAGACACAGTGTCCCTTCACAGTCACTGAAATTAGGTAGCAGAGAAACAGCAAAGCTGGAGAGAGGACATGGGAACAGAGGGAGCAGCTGTTGGCACCCATCGGGGCCTGGGCTCCAGAGCCGTGAGGACGGGCAAGGGGAGGGGAGAGGAGCTGGCAGGAAAACCCAGTTAGTTGTAGACTCCAGCCAGCTACGTGCGAGCAGGGTGAGTCCCTTGAGTGTAAACATGCCCCCTCATTCCACTTGGAGAGCAAGGGGGAGCTCAGGGAACTCTGGTCAAGCTCTCAGCCCCTCTACATCTGTATGGGGGTCCCCTGCCCACGAGCCCCACCATAGGGAGGGCCCCTTGAGGGAGGAGGGCCTTGGCCTGGGAGCCGAGCCAGTGGTCAGTGACTTGTGGCCCCCGCTCTGGCCAGGGTTCTAGGGAAGGCCAGAGATAGTAGAGCTGTGGCAGGCCCTGAGCGCCTGCCCCGGCCAAGCCCACAGTCCTCCCTCCTGCTTTCCCACTCGGCCACACACAGCCCTGCAGAAGCAGGGAATGTTCTGCAAGTGCATTCTGGCTGGCTCCTCTCCTAGCCACCTGCACAGGGAGCATTATGACCAGGGCTTTCAAGAGCCACAAATCCAAAGAATGCTAGAGCTGGAAGGCAGCTCAGAGTCACTCATCCAACTTCTAATTTTTAAATGTGAGAAAACTGAGGCCCAGAAAGTAAAAATGGTAAGTCATTCAAAGCTAGTGAGTTGAGGTGGCTCATGCCTGTAATCCTAGTGCTCTGGGAGGCCAAGGTGGGAGGATCACTTGAGCTCAGGAGTTGGAGACCAGCCTGAGCAAGAGTGAGATCCCGTTTCTACTAAAAATAGAAAGAAATTAATTGGCTAACTAAATATATATAGAATAAGTTATCCGTGCATGGTGGCGCATGCCTAGTAGTCCCAGCTACTCAGGAAGCTGAGGCAGGAGGATTGTTTCAGCCATGGAGTTGGAGGTTACAGTGAGCTGTGATGACACCACCGCACTCTACCCGGGGCAATGGAATGAAAGACTCTGTCTCAAAAACAGAATAAAGAAAGCTAGTGAATGACAGAGTCGGAACTAACTCGAATCCACACCTTCTGGTGGCTTGTCCAGGGTTTATTACACCACATGAAACCTTCCAAAGATATGAAGGGAGAAGGGGCAAAAAGCTCTTAGCGTTTCACCTCCACCCCCTCCTACTGAGGCTGGAAGAGAGTGAGTGTTTCCTGGCCTTGCTCCCCACAGTCCTCCTACACGCTTAGCTCCCTGAAAGTAGTTATCCTGCTTCAGAGATGCCGAGTGATGTCCCAAGACAGTAAGGACGCAACTGCTGGGTGTCTCCTGTCAGCACCCACTACAAGGGGAACACTGGGGAAGGGATTGCGGGGGAAGGTCCCACCGCCTGCCTGTCCCTAGTGAGGCCCTTAGCCAGAACAGAGGAGAAAGGTCACCACTACCTTTTCTGACCTACAGCAGGCTTCCTAGAGGAAGGACATGGGAAATTGGGCTTCCTACTCCCCTGGGCCTATGGGAAGCCCAACTTCATGTCCATCCTGGAACGCCACCAAACCTGTTGCTCTCAGCCAAGATCTGGCCAAGCCAGCAACAAACCATGGGAACAACTGTCCTGGGTGCAGGGGAAGAACAGAAGGCGGGCGAGCCAATGGCTGATACTCCAGAGACCCTGTAAGAACACTGGCACCAAACCCAGCTGGCTCCAGTGCCATGTTGAATGCAACTGCTGAGTATTTTGTCTTTATGTTTTGCAAGCAGCGTCAGTGCGTGATGCAACAAAAGTTGAAAGCACAGAGGTAGAAATGCTCACTCACCCAAGAAAGGGTGCAGTTTGGTCCTTAGAGAATGGGCCCTCCTCCCTCCAGCTGAGAGAGAGGAGCAGGATGGAGAAAGCTCCTGGATGAGCTTCTCCCAGGGGCCCCGCTTTTCCTGGGAATTCATGGTCACAACTTCAGGCAGAAAAGAGGAGGGGGGGGCAAATGGCCCCCTCAGCTCTCCTACCCATTGCGGGGGTAGACACAAGAAAACAACACTGCACACTCACAGAGACAGACACTTCGCGTCTACCACCCTGAAGAAATCCAACAGACACATCAGGAGAAGAGTGGGTTCTGGGTCAATTTCAAGGTGTGGGACAATGGCCTCTAACCACAGCCTGAATGAGGCCAGCACTTCCCAGCAGGGCAGCAGCCCAAGGCCCAGCACCCCTGCCTGGGCACCTCTTTCCTCCATTCTTCCCCCAATGGGTGGGAATTAGGGTGGAGGTGGGAAAAGAAAGAAGCAGAGGTGCCAGCCCTTTGGAGGCTGGGCCTGGGGCAGGGCATGGAGAAGGGAGAGCAGGGTAAGTGGACCGACCTCCCTCACCTGGTCTCCTCCATGCTGCCGGCACCCGAGGAGTGCAGAAGGACACATGGGCCCTTAGCCCTATTAACAGCGACCCCTTCTAAACAGAGCCTGATCAAATCTGGGTGAGAGAGGTCAAAGGACAAGGAAGCTGGGCCCTCCTAACCCAGAAGCACAGCCCCTGCTCTTCTCCCGTCAATTCTGGGAGGCCACCGCCAGAGTATTGACGTAGCCATGGGCGCCCCCCTCGTTCTCCGAGATGCAGTGGCCCAGCTGGGAGCCTCCCTGAGGCGGAGGCGGAGGTGGCGGCGGGGCGGAGGGCGGGGCGCCGTAGCCCGCTCTGGCCCGACTGAGGGAGGCCCGGCTGCCCTGGTCCCAGCAGCCCTCCAGGGCCTCCAGGCCACGGCAGCCGAGGAAGAAGAGGTTCTTGAGCATGAAGACGGAGAGGGGCTGCTGGTAGCTCACCACCAGGAGGCAGCGCAGGGCCAGCAAGGGCACGTCCACCAGGCAGCCGCCCAGCAGGCGCAGGAGGCGGCTGCAGCTGCCGGGCCCCGAGGCCTGGCCCCAGGACGAGGCGTTGAGCTCGTAGAGCCAGAGCACCGGCGAGGCGAGCGTGAGGAAGTAGACGGCGATGAGCAGGTAGCGCAGGTGCGCGGGCAGCGGCACGCGGCCCTCCAGCGTCAGCTCCACCAGGGTGAAGCTGTCGAGCAGGTCCAGACACGTGCCCAGGAAGCAGCCGGCGGCGCGGTGCCGCTGGGGCTGCAGCAGCAGGGGTCCGGCCGAGCCGGGCGGGCCGCCCGCCTCGCTGATGGCCCGCACCAGGCTGTAGAGCAGGGGCACCGACAGCGCCATGGTGAGGCGGAAGCCGGTGGTGCCGAAGGGCGCGCGCAGCTCTATGAGGTCTAGGATGGACGTGCCCAGGATAAGCACCACCTTGGGCGTGAAGGCGATGGAGTAGATGAGCCAGGCCAGGTAGGCGAAGGCGAACTCGCCGGTCGCCCCGGCAGCCGCCAGGCCGCCCCCCGCGCCCCCGCGGCCGCCGCGCGCCTTGGCCCCAGCGGGGCCGGCAGAGGCAGCCGGCAGGTGCAGGGGCGGCGCGGCGTGGTGGTGGTGCTGGTGGTGGCTGTGGGCGCCGCCCCGACGGCCCCGGCTGTTCTTGGCGAAGAAGATGGCCCAGCCCACCACCACCACCAGATCGGTGGCGATCCAGGAGCACCAGTACAGGTCGGTGACGGCGATGAGGTACAGGTCCAGCAGGCCGCCCTGCGCCAGCAGCAGCACCACGGACAGCGCCTGGTAGCCCCAGCGGCACCCCGGGCTGGGGGCGCAGCAGCGGCGCCGACCCCTGCGGCCGGGCCGGGCCGGGCGGCAGCAGCAGCAGCAGCACGAGCAGCAGGAGCCGCCGCTGCCCGCGCCCGGGCCGCCCGGGACCCCCGCCGAGCGGCCCCCGGGCCCCCCGACGGCCCCCGCCGCAGCAGCCCCGCCGAAGTCCCCGGCGGTCATGCTGCAGGAGGTGGGCGTGGAGGAGGAGGAGGAGGTGGCGGCTGAGGAGGAGAAGGCGGCGGGCGCGGGGTCGGCGGCTGGGGCGCCCCCCTGACCCGGGGGCCCCGGGAGCGCGGCGGCGGCGGCCGGCACCAGCGGCTTGCTGATGCTGAGGCTCTCGTCGTCGTCCTCTCGCTCCGCGCCCGTGCTGCTGCTCGCCGAGCCGCCCCCGCCGCGTCTGCCGCCGCCTCCCGCCCGGCTGGTGCTGGTGCTGGTGCTGCTGTCTCCCGAGCCTCTCCGGCCGCGGGAGGAGCCCCCCCGGAGGAAGAGGGGCTGCAGCCGGGCGGCGGCGGGGGGCGGGGGGAAGGAGCCGGACGACGACGAGACGCAGCGAGGGTTGCCGAGCGCTGGGCGCATTGTCCTCCGAGGGCTCCGGGGCTGCCCAGCTGCTGCTCCCCGCCAGCCGCGGGCTGGAGCGGCGGCCGAGGGGGGCCGGGGCTGGCCGCCGCCGCCGCCTCCCCAGCGCGGGGACTCGTACCCGGGTCGGGCAGCAGCGAGATCCGGACTGGAGCCACTGGACTGGGCGAGCCGAGCCCCGGCGGGCGGCCGGGCGCGGAGGGCGGCGGGGGCGCGGGCGGGCGGCGACGGCGGGCGGGGGCGAGGCCAGCCCGCAGGAAAGGGAGGCTGGCGGCGGGGAAACCAGGACTGGATTCGAGGGGGAGAGGAGGGGGCGAGCCCAGAGAAGGGGAAAGCCTGGCTCGCTGGATCAGCAGGAAGGAAAGGCGGACGCAGTGCTCGGGCGTCAGAGGCGGGGTGGGGCGCCCCGTGGCCCGCGATGAGCGGGGAGGGGCAGGCAGCCTCCAGAATGAGGAGGGACGCGGGGAGCACCCACCGCGGCGTCCGGGTCCCTAAGCACTCGCTCCGGAGTCCCACCAGCTGCCCCGCTGGAGCATTAGTGACCAGAAGGCCACGGCTCGGTGTAGACCATGCCTCCAAACACCGACTCAGGCGACAGGCTGCCCCTGGTCGGCACAGCTTGTGTCTCAGGCAGCAGGGCAGCTCCCTATCCCCGCGCTTGTCCAGGGCCCCCGCACGGGCCAGCCACCTCTCCCTAAGGCACTTGAAATCTAACAGAGTCAGGCCATACTGAAACGAAAGACTAGAACAGCAGCCCAGGCACAGGCCTGCATGGGCTCATGAGCCACCCTCAGGGAGGCCCCAGTTTCCAGTGGACGGAGAAGCTCCCTGAAAATAACTGCTTGGGTACTGGGAACAGGCAAGCAGGCCCTGCCAAGTGGGGCTTCGGGTATTCTCAAAGGTTTTCAAAACAGGAATTGAAAAATTGCCAATAATAGGAAGATGTATCTAGTAGAGAGGAAAATAAAGGGACATTTAGAGGTGTGGTCACCTTGCTAAAATCAAAGGCTCAAAGGAGATGATAGTGACAGTTACAGCTTGCCACAGTAGACAGAGGCATTGTCCCATGGATGGTGGCAACAGCCCTGCATTGACAAGCTCAGGAGCTCACCCATGACTGGGACTGGCTTTCTGTGCAGCAACTCAGGGAGGCAGAAGGTAAAAGTGAAGTCCTTAGGGGCTTAAGGGGAGAAGGAAATGACTAGAGCAGTTGTGGCTCAAAAGAAATCTGAGGTTCATGTACAGCGCAGACAGCCCATTCCCAGCCCCAGGAAGCAAGGGGGGAAGCTTGTCTACCCCTTTCTTCTTCTCTACATCCTTCAGGCTGCTTCCTGCCCCGCCCCGATTTCAGTACCTTTAAAGCTGCTGCTGCTGCTGGCCTCATCTACCCAGATAACACCACACAGTGTGAGGGAGGGAAGTGTAGTGGACCCACAGTGGTTAGTTGCCCAGGCCTTGCCCCTAAATGTGCCTCTTGAATGAGGGTTAGTTGCAGCCAAATCTGCCCTCTCCAGCCTCTTGGAGGTCAGTCTGCATGGCCAATGCATGGTAGGTGTGGGACTTAGAACTCACAACTTGCACCATTTCCTCCTCCAGCACACACCACCTTTGGAAAGTTCTCTGTCTAATCATCATGCAAGGCAGAGCAGGTGCAGCGGTGAGAGCAGGAGCTCTGGGGCTGGCAGTCCCAGCCCTGCCACTTCACAGCTTTGCGACCTCAGCCTGGTTATTTCACCTCTCGGAGCCTCAGACTACTGATCTGTGTAAAGGGACTGACACCTACCTTAACGTTGTGTTAAGAGAGATCATGTGTGTAAAGGGCTTAGTCCAGTGCCTGGCTCAGGTTAGATAGTTAAAGGTAGCTGGTGTTATCATAATTCCACTTCGCTCATGTCCTAACCTCCCAGGGAACATTCACTCACAGCATGAGCCACCAGTGACTTTTTAGGGCTGGATTCCTTCCTGAGGCCACGTTCAGAGTTCTCCCCCACAGCTTTGCATTTTGCTCAGTGCTGGGAGCAAAGCTGCTAGAGCTAGGAGCAGTGGTTCTTGGAGCTGGTCTTCCTAGGCCTCATGGAGCGAAGGGTCAGCTGTGCCGGCTGGGGCCAAGGCCCCCGGGGGGGGGCAGAATAAACCACTTAGTGGATGCAGCTTCCACTCATGTGTGAGCAACACAGCAGGTCTGGCAGCTGTCAGGGCTGAGCCAGTCCAGGTAAAAAAGTGGACTGGACTGGGGAGCTGCCAACTGCTAATCGGAGTGATTACAGCCAGTCTCCAGGCCCTCCAGGGGACATGCCAGCCAGCAGCTCACATGGAAACCCAAGCCTCCTGCTCAAGCTATGAAGCAGTTGATGGAGCAGAAGCAGCTAAGGAAGGCAGACAACTGCAGTCCCAGGATGCTGCAGAGCCTGTCCCTTGCCCAATGCCCGCAGTGGCCACCCACACATGCCGCTGTCATTCACCTGCCAGGCCGTGCCTCCTCTTATAGGTGCCTTCATGAGCACAGATTTCCTCCCTGGCTACTTACATTTTAACAGTCCTTTGAAGTTATTCTTTGCATTTCTGACTTAGATCAACTTTCTGTAAGACATTCCTTAATCCAGCTTCTTCAGGCCTGAGACCCTGAATCACATTCCACAGATGACCAGGAGAAGTTAGGGTGCAGAACAGAGTAAGTGTGGGTGGGATCTCCTCTTTACATCGGCTGTTTCAATCTTCTGTGTGCACACACACACACACACACACACTCTCTACTCTCTCTCTCTCTCTCTCTCTCTCTCTCTCTCTCTCTCTCTCTCTCTCTCTCTGCTTCAGCCTGGGGAGGGCTTGTCAAAGACATGACACATATATGACAAGGATGAGAAGAAGGAAGACAAAAAGACTTTTTCATCTAGAAAGTGGGTACAAACATCCCACATCTCATCTAGAAAAGGAAGGAAACAGCGGCTGAGCACTCGCAGTACCTAGGGTCTGTGCTGGACGCCTCTCACACAACACCCAGGAACGAGAGCTGGAGAGGTGGAGCAGTGCACTCCATAGCACACGGCCAGGTGAGGGCAGGTAGGGCTGGATCCAGACTGGCCCAGCCCAGTGCTGTCATCCACCTACCAACTCTCCTCTCACAGCCCAAGATGGCAGGGCCCACAGGGAGACAGGGACAAAGCAAACAGGTTTCAATCTCAAAAACGTTTCCTTGAGCACCTGTTGAGTGCTGGGCACCGGATGAGGCTCCTGTGGCCACTTAACATTCTTGTCCTCCTAGAACTAGAAGGCCAATGCCCCTTGCCTTCCTGAAGCAGTAGTAATGGGTTATGAGGGATGGAGAAATGCCCCAGTCAGCCTGGCAAGAAAGGAAGGCTCAGAGGGGCAGGCCCACCCTTTCCTAGTACGGAGCACAGACCCCGTTTTTTGGAGACAGAGTCTTGCTCTGTTGCCCAGGCTAGAGTGAGTGCTGTGGCATCAGCCTAGCTCACAGCAACCTCAAACTCCTGGGCTCAAGCAATCCTCCTGCCTCAGCCTCCTGAGTATCTGAGACTACAGGCATGTGCCACCATGCCTGGCTAATTTTTTCTATATATTTTTAGTTGTCCAGCTAATTTCTTTCTATTTTTAGTAGACACAGGGGCTTACTCTTGCTCAGGCTGTTTTCGAACTCCTGACCTTGAGCAATCCTCCCACCTCGGCCTCCCACAGTGCTAGGATTGCAGGGGTGAGTCACCGTCCGGGCCCATAGACCCCTTCTTCACTGATCCATGCTCTGTTCACTCTCACTGCCCTCTTTTACCTTCAGAGTGAGAATAAAGAAAAGGAACTGTCAGAGGAATGTGGGGGCCCACAGATGCTCCCTGCATGAACATAAGATGGGAAGAGACACAGCAGGGTCCTCTGGTTCTCAATTACACAATCACCAAACACTGACTCTCGTGACTGAAGCGGGATGAGTCTGCAAGGCTTAGCCATTTGGAGCTTGAAGCCTCAAAACTACCTTGTGAGCTCTCTGAAGATAGACACTATACCCATGCCCAGTCACAGCTCCTTGATACCTGGAGCAAGCTGTGTGGCTGCAGCTGCCCCAGGGATGCTTCATGGTGATGCCACCACCCTCTGGGATAAAGGGGAAGTCCCAGCATCAGTGTTTCATATATCAGTCCCTAAGCTAGGGACTAGGGTTACAGAGATTTTTTTAAAGTAAGTTCTTTCCTGGAAGGGAGATAGACATATAAGCAATAAAGCTCAATGAAGTATTATGAACACTATGACCAACTTCTACAACAGGGAGCAGGAGAAGGTCCACAAAGACTTCACAGGGGATGGGACATGAGAGCTGTTTGAGGAATAAGCAGATGGTGGTTAGCAGAGAGGAGGTGGAACGAGATCAGGAGAGCATTCCAAGATCCAGATGAACAAAGGACCTACAGTAGGAAGTAGCAAGGCACCATGAAGGAATTACAAATATTTGACACTGCTTGAATATGAAGTACAAGGAGAATATGCAAAGAAAGATAAGGCTGAGGAAAGAGGCAGGGGCTAGATTACAGTGGAGCTCATCTGCCAGGCTGAACTTGGGCTGCATTCTGAGGGAATAGGGAACTCTCAAAAGCAAAAATATAACATGTTGGAAAAATTGCTATGTAGTGGAGATGATGGGTTGGAGAGAATGGAAAATGGATGCACAGAGATTATGTTCTGGTTCTGGCGATACTGTGAACTAAATAATATAAAAATGCCCCTGCTTACCAAAAACACTAAATAAAATATAACATCCAGCCGGCCGTGGTGGTTCACGCCTGTAATCCTAGCACTCTGGGAGGCTGAGGCAGGCGGACTGCTCGAGGTCAGGAGTTTGAAGCCAGCCTGAGCAAGAGTAAGCCCCTGTCTCTGCTATAAATAGAAAGAAATTAATTGGTCAACTAATATATATAGAAAAAATTAGCTGGGCATGGTGGCACATGCCTGTAGTTGCAGCCACTTGGGAGGCTGAGGCAGGAGGATTGCTTGAGCCCAGGAGTTTGAGGTTGCTGTGAGCTAGGCTGACGCCACGGCACTCACT